GCCGGGCGTCGCTCCTTGCGGTACGCTCTCGCTCCTCCCGCTCGAAGATGCCTGGATGAAACCACGACAAGAGGGCTTTGCCCGGATTTTAAAAAGCCCGGGGTGCCGTACACCGAGGGCGCGGTGTACGGAGCTAAAGGCATCGAACGGTAACGACCAGGTTTATGGAGGGTCATGATTAGCCGGACGCGTTGGCGTTTGGAGCATCCGGAAGAATCCTCTTGTCAAGCAGAAGATTCAAGCGCATCTAACACGAAGGAAGCTTATAGAAGGTAGAAGAACAAGAAAACGATTTGGAAAGAAATGAAGAAATGTTTGGATGGGTGAAGCATACCATACGTTCAATCATTTTGAATCTTGTTGTGATTCTTTTTGTTTACCAACATTTGTCCTTCGGCCTGCAGACTTGCAAGGCCCACAATATTTTCCAATGCAAGCTCATCTTTCTTTTGCCATTTGGCTCAAATCTTGACCAAAAGATTATTGATCAAAAGAGCATCTACTACATTAACAAAACTTCACAAAACTTAACAATAGGTTACAAAAAAAGGTATTTTAAAAAATTAGACAAATTCCTTTTTTTTTGAGTAGTTTTACTTCTTAAAATAGTTTTGAACAGAGACTTAATATTTATAATAAGAAATAATATATAAATCAAATTATATTATTTATACTCTTTAATATAATATTTATAAAGTTATGAGTTAGATATATCCATCATTTAGAGAAGCTTTGACAAACATTCCTGACAAGCTACATGAACTGAGATTCTAATTGTTTTGTCTCCTAGATAGTTTTGATAAGTCTATACTATTTGATAGTCTTAATTTTTCCTCATTTTTACTGTGTTTGGGAGTGGTGGTTAGTGTAGTTGTGATTTGTATGGATCTACAAGGATGAGAACATATCTCTCAACTAGATGTGTTTTCTCAAGGTTTATAGAAAATACAATAGTATAATGCACAATACAAACACATAAATATCAACTAAAAAGTCCTAGTAGTGTTTATATACATACATATGTATGTATATATGTACATATATATGTATTCTTCATTTTGATCAAAGAATTTTGTGTTTACTTCTATATAGCTATGAGAAATAATTTAAATTTCTTTGGGATAATAAAAAGGATTTTGATATGAAATTAAAATACATATGAGTACATGGATTATGACTATCATGGAATATGGAGAGAGATTACAATATATATATATATATATATATATATATATATATATATATATATATATATATATATATATATATATATCAATTAACCTAAAAACCCTAGTTTATATGCATGAGCGAATAGTCTAGATTGAAACTAATCTAACAGCTACGAAAATCCCACTACTCTAATATTAATATATGGCATTGTAGCCATACAATTGGATCTCACATCATCCCCTTCTCTCAAAATGATGGAAGATAATCAAGATTTTCTCATGGACAGGCCAGGATATGGAGAAACATCAAGAGGTAGCATTAATGGATTTATAAGTGGTGTTAATTATTTATGATCCATTTGTATGAAGTGTTTTAGCTATTGTATATGCCAATTTTTGGAGGATTGGCCTATTGGACATCATGCCAAACCTTATAAATTTGCCGTCCAACTTGCTGTAACATTTAATATGGTCTATTCTATTGAACAAGGAGCTCTTTAGATAAACCATGTATTGTAAGATTTGGAAAATAAACTAACATATAGTCATCCATTTTGTACTCCACAGGTGAACAATAATAAGAGTTGTAGCACCATTGTTATCCCATTTGTACACAGCCTAGGTGTTCAGTAAACTCTGCTTGACAAATGGACGAATGCTTGTTAAATATTAATTCTATGACCTAGCATCAGTAGCACGTGGCAAAACTCAACTCCGTTGGTAGTATCAGATTATGACCATATAAGAGTTTAAATGGTAAGGCACCAATAAAACTCTACACTTCTGTGACATACATATACTGAAGAGATGCAACTGAAAGTTCTGAATGCTGAAAGTTCATATATTTCATGATCATCCTTTTGGAGGTCCGAACGAGCCATTCCACCAAACCATCTGATTGTGGATAATAAACATTCATAAAAGTGTGGCATATCCTCAACCAAGATGTTAAAATATGAAATGCCTCAGCTATAAATGCAAAACCATTATCCAAAAGAATTCACTCCAAGCAATAATGCTAGAATACCACTCGATTGAGGAGGAAGTAGCCAACAGTAGTAACAAATACACTAACAAGAGCACCAACTTCCACCCAACGAATCAAGTAGTTAGAATTAATAATAATATACTTATTACCAACATCCCACACACACAACTAAGTCTGCCGCATCTTATGCACATGTGCGTGTACAGCTGTTGGAATAAAGAATGAAAACTAGCTCTGCCACACAACACAAATGTAAATGGTAATGTATGGTAACAAGTTGAGCAATAAAAGATAAACTCTAGTATGTATCAACCAACACGAAGAGAATAATAGAAAAATTTTTATTATAAAAACAAGCTTGGAAAATAAACACTTGATGAACTGATGCTAAGTGAACCCTTTAATAATACTCCTAAAAGAAATATGAAAGAGTCACTGATTTATTTGTACAAGGTTCTTCTACTACTCATATCACTCTTTGTTTTCTGGAAGCATCTTGATATCTAAACTTTCCACTACAGTAGCATAAACAGAACATTATTGATGCCAAGGTCTTCACCCAATAAATGGAGGTCACCAATCCGGACAATGTTGACAATACTAATAAGTATAACCAACTTCATTATATGCCTAATAGTAGACATTACAGCCACAACCACATCTTGGTTCTTGTTCTTGAACTCAGACAGTAGCAACATCATCTTCCATTAGAATAATACCATCTCCAATAGAAAATGGAGCTAAAGTACGTGCAGTGAGAAGTGGAAAAGGCGACATCTCATAATGTTATGTGTAGTGAAGAGCATCGTTAAGGGTGGCTGGAGTAAATGCATGCACAAATTTTACAAGATCTTGATGAAATGTTGGCCACAACATTCTCAACTTGATCTGCTCTGACATATTTTGCTCCACATGAAGCAAGAGGCTTCGAAAACAAATGCCAAATTGCATTATGGCTTCAGATGGCTCTTGACAAAGACAATACAATTTGTTGAAAGGCATTATCACAATCATTAGTATGTCCAAATGTGTGTTTGAAAACGTTCAGGAGAATACTTTAATCCTCATGAATGGCTACATTTAAACCATTATACCATTGAAGTGTTGTCCCTTAGAAACATGTGGGAAAATCATACAAATGCCAAACATCATCCCAAGAATGATATATAGCAATCACCATAAAGTGATTAATATGCATCATCTGTAGGATTCCATAGAAAAAATTCAGCCAGACACAAGGATTGACAACAAGAGTAGGAAGAGTTGTACCACATACTATGAATGCTGCCATCAACTAAGTTTAATTGTTCAACTACAACTATATATATCAAGCAATTGCAACAACTATTGTTCCAGAGTCAAAGGAGGAAGAGCTACTTTACCATGAACATGAACAAAAAAGAAAGAACAAAAGTGAAAAAGTTGAAAACAACTATAAAAAAATGGAGATCTAGACAATGCAAAAGTTAGATTTAAACCAAAATCCTAAATCCTAGCACTCTTTAGAAATAATCAAAATTGCCCCCCACTTCCACCATTGTGAGTGTATAAAATTTGGAAAGAGAATGTAGAAATGTGTATATCAATTAACCCAAAAACCTTAGTTTATATATAGGAGTGAGTGGTCTAGATTGAAACAAATCTGATACTTACTAAAATCTCATTATGCTAATATTAGTATACGGTATTGTATAGACCTCACAATATATAATTAAAATCAATTTTATGTTTAAATTATTTATTATTTAAATTGAAAATCATGAAATTAAAAAACTTTCATACTCTTTATTAAGCAATAAATTATTTAGATC